CCAGGTTGGTTGGTTGTGTGTGTTTGTTTATATATGGGATCGGATTTCCTACATTTTTCAACCGATTTCAACAAAACTTCACTTTTTTTGGCAGGTAGTGTTTCTTATTGTCTTGCACATTTTTTCTTTATTTTTACATTCAGAATGCTTTAAAAATTACTTTTACAAGACAATTGTTTATAATAAAATTCTATTCAATTGGTAGACTCATAACGATTGAAAACAATGTTTTTGTTTGAGTTTGACCAATTCGTAAAAAAAAAAAAAAAAACAAAAAAAAAACTAATTAAGACATGCGTGTCCGTCAACCTTAAGCAATAATCTTTGTTAATTTTATTTTTCAGTCTTTATGATGGTCGATACTTGATCTATCTCTTACTGTTACATCCCCGGGCAACGCCAGGCTCTACTGCTAGTTACTAATATTACAAGCAAGCATTGACTTACTACAAATATTCAACTACAAGCAACAGAAACTTAATTACAAAATATACAAACTTTCAACTGTTCAACACATATGCAAACTTTTCTCTTTCACAGGGAGACAAAAAAAAAAAGTCAACCAGATACATCGCTGCTACACAAATGAAATTTAACTTGGATATTACAGGTTTTTTTTACCAATTATTCACCAGCAAGAAATTACTCTAAAAAAAAGTTTTTTCTGAAGCTACAAGTTTACCAAACATATTTTTAGTTCTTCAGGACAAAATTCAAGAAACTTTTCTCAGTTAATTCTATTTGACAAAATTTGTTTTTGGCGAACCTTTTTCTTTTAGTGGCAGGATTTATTTTAATTCTTTTCAGAAATACAAAAAATAAATTTTATTTCGTACCAAACAGAAACTTCTTGAAAGATCAAGTAAATATTCAAAGTTCTATTTTACCAAAAACATTCTCAAAATATTCATATTACACAAAACATTTAATTCGCAAATAACATTTCTTCTAAAAAAAACTCTTTTTCATTGTGAGACCTGATAAAAAAAATTCTATCTTTCAAAAAAACAGTTTTTTTAATTTCCTAGTTAAAGGTAAGCAACTCTTATTTTTGCATTGTAAAATTTCTGTACCAAAAAACAGTTTTGAAGGAACATTTTAAACTAAAGCATTTTAATTCGTTTAATTAACATTACTGAACTTTGAAATTTAGCTTAGCTCAGCTAAATATTCTGAACAGTTTATTTTTAATAATTGTATTATTTCTCTATAAATATTTTGTTATTGCTTTATATATTGTTGTCATCTTTGGACTGTCTTTTAAGCCTTATGCCATACATCAAAAATAAAATGCTTGTAGAGGAGGGAAGTTTTATACACGCAGCCGAATTTATGTAACTAAAAAGCCTTTTGATCACTTTTCACTTTCTCTGCAACAACTTTTTTTTTTGGCCATGTAGTACATCCAAATTTAAATCCCAAGACCAAAGGAAAGGGGGAGGATTTGTGGGGGGGGGATTGTAGGGCGGGGGTATCCGTGCTAATATGGCCATGTACCAGCATTAAGGTCAAAAAGTTATTATTCTCCCAACTTTTTTGTATTGCACCTAAAGTAAATCCTTGACTTCTTTTCACCATGACTCAAAATCAAAAGATCCATGTAGCCTTTTCAGAATTTAATTTAGAGTAAAACCTTATCTAATTTTGATTCAATTAATACAGAGTAACCCGGATATAAGAGAAACCCGGATATAAGAGAGATCTTCTCTGGTCCCAAATTAGAGCCTGTGTTAATGTATATAAAATAGACCAAACCCGGATATAAGAGAAACCCGGATATAAGAGACTTCTTCTCCAGTCCCGACAACTCTCTTATATCCGGGTTACACTGTGTATTTTTTTAATTTCTGTTCAGACGATTATCCTCATCTTTGTTGTACAGTGTAACCCGGATATAAGACAGTTGTCGGGACCGGAGAAGAAGTCTCTTATATCCGGGTTTGGTCTATTTTATATACATTAACACAGGCTCTAATTTGGGACCAGAGACAATCTCTCTTATATCCGGGTTTCTCTTATATTCGGGTCTCTTATATCCGGGTTACACTGTAATTCATATTTATTTGTCTAGATTTTGGGAGGTCAAAGTTTGTCTTTAAAAAAAAATGAAAAAATCAATCTACTAATTTAAAAAAAAAAATCAAAACGTCTGCGTAAATGACAGTCATTTCAAATCAGATTAATGAGACTTTTAATCAGGTAACATCCCCCAAATAAAATTTCCGAAAAATATATTTTATTTACGGAAAATTTTTTTTATGAAAGAGAATTACATTTTAGGCTAAAAAAATGGCGGGAAAATCGAATTTTCTAGCCAAAAATAAAGAAAAAACTCTTAATTTAAATTAGTTTTTGAAATAGAGCAAGTATTTTGCTTATTGGAAATATTAAATTGAATCAATTAGCTTGAAATTAAAACTAAAATAAAAGCTTTAAGAAAGATTTTTCATTTTTAAAAAATTATTTTAAATCTTAGATCTTGCAAATTAGTGGAGGTGCCTACATTTGGGAAAGAAGTGAAAGAAAGAAAAGAAAAAAGACATAATTAAAATTTCTTTTTATTAATATCTACCCAAATAGATACTTTTTGTTATTCTTAGCCCCTACCCGTCACCTCTACTCTAGTTTTCTGCAGGATTTTACCATTTTAAGCAAATATTTATTTCTCTTTATGGAGTGAGACTGTTGACAAATGACTTTTTGGCAGACCAAGAGAAATTATATTTTTGTAAGTTGCGTCCCTTAGACCAATTTAAAGAATCTCAAGATTTGAATTGACAGGCGTAAATTCAGCTGGAAAATGAATCTTTCAACATTTTGAATAGACAAAGAAATAATTTCAGTGCTTTCCTTCTGGAACTGTTGATAATTTCAAAGAAGGGTCTGCAATGTAATCGATCCTGACCTGGCATCTCGACTTCAGTCACTTTCTCACCGTCCTGATGTGGCTTCAATCTGTCTTTTCTACCAAATATTTTCATGGCAATTGTGCTGATGAGCTTTTGTCCCTTAGTGCCTCAACTGCATGAATCGAAGCATGGTACTAGATTGGCAGTTAGGTCTCACCGTTTTACTGTTAACTTAGCTAGATGCAATTATAAGTTCCATCCTAATAGTTTCTTTTCTTCCACTCTTCGTCTTTGGAATTCCCTTCTGATTTCTTGCTTCCCTGACAACTACAATCTTCAAAAATTTAAATGCAATATCAAATGCCATTTTCTGTCTAACTAAACTCCATTCTTTTATTGTCCTTTCCTCACTTCTTACTTACATATGTCCAACTCTTCTTCAGAAAGATTCGTTGGAACAACAATAATGAAAAATGTGAAACTGAAAAGGTGATCTGTCTATATTTCTGAAATGAGGTATTATGTACACTATTTACATTATTCAGACTATTGTCCTCATCTTTGTCACCATATTTATTACAACGTGTCGGCCTTTCAGTATCTATCTACATTTCTGAGATGAGGTATTATGTACACTATTTACATTATTCAGACTATTGTCCTCATCTTTGTCACCATATTTATTACAACGTTTCGGCCTTTCAGTATCTGTCTATATTTACACTATTTACATTATTCAGACTATTGTCCTCATCTTTGTCGCCATATTTATTACAACGTTTCGGCCCTTCAGTATCTGTCTATATTTCTGAGATGAGGTATTATGTACACTATTTACATTATTCAGACTATTGTCCTCATCTTTGTCACCATATTTATTACAACGTTTCGGCCTTTCAGTATCTATCTACATTTCTGAGATGAGGTATTATGTACACTATTTACATTATTCAGACTATTGTCCTCATCTTTGTTGCCATATTTATTACAACATTTCGGCCTTTCAGTATCTGTCTATATTTCTGAGATGAGGTATTATGTACATTATTTACATTATTCAGACTATTGTCCTCATCTTTGTCGCCATATTACAACGTTTCAGCCGTTGTACACTCCGGTCCTTCTTCAGGTGGTTGGAATGTCGAACTGAACTCTTTATTTCGCTCACTGGGGTAGACTGTTCTAGTTCCACGTGCCATGTTTTAATGGATATAAGTTATCAGTTATCTCCTGTTAATTCCCCTCTGAAAGTTCTCCACTGCCTTAACCAGTTATTGAATTCACACTCTTTGGGTACTGTCACTGGATCTAATTAACTCCTTCATACACTGTGCTATATGTCCTTAGATCCAGTGACAGGACCCAAAGAGTGTGAGTTCAATACCCGGTTAAGGCAGTGGAGAACTTTCAGAGGGAAACTAACAGGAGATAACTGATAACTGACATCCATTAAAACATGGCACGTGGAACTAGACCAGTCTACCACAGCGAGCGAAATAAAGGGTTCAGTTCGACATTCCAACCACCTGAAGAAGGCCGGAGCATAAACGTTGTAATAAATACACACACACACACACATACATATATATACTATATGTTTATCTTTGACTTACGGAGAAAGTAAGACATTTCTTTACTAAAAAAGCTAAAAGATTTAAAATATGCTGTTTACAAGTCGGCCAGCTCTCGTGCAGAAAGCATTGCACCTTTTTTTTTTTTTTGGCTTGCTAAAATTGATTCAGAACTTTGACAAGAGAAGGGGGTCATGTTTTTGGGGAGTGACAAAAGTTGCCTAAATTAACAGCATTTACTGAAATAATAGACATTGTAACCTTTGATAAAGGAAGGAAGGTCTCATCAAATTGCAGCTTTCTGCACTCCCCCCACCCTCGCCAATTCGCAGGCAAACAGGTTTTGTACAGGATCAGATTTCTGCTGAAATGGCACAGATCCAAAAAGCAATAGAAACCAATCAATGGTAACATCGGGTAGCTGAGACCTGCCTATCTTACCGGAGGGGAAAAATAAATCTTTGGTGTTTATCTGAACTGTCATGTCTACCATTTTTGTGTAAAGATGCAAATAAATAAATAGAATTTTCTTCTAGACTTTCTTGTAGGATTCCTGATATTGTTTTTGTCTCGTTCTCAGAGTGTCGTGAGAGGGAGGACAACCAATGACACGTCGCAAAATTGAATTCTGAGAAGGAACAGAACCTGTTGATGCCAGCAGGATGAACCTTTTTCTACATCAGGACAAACTTACTGGCAAAAGAAAGAAAATTAAAAAAGGAGAGTCTTACACATACACACACACACACACATATATATATATAATGAAATATATATATATATATATAATGAAATATATATATAATGAAATATATATATATATATATAATGAAATATATATATATATATATATATATATATATATATATATATAATGAAATGGATTAAGGCTGACGATTATTTAATATATTTTCTGTTTATACATTATTTTAATAGATACATTTTTTGGGGGGAAACGATCATCAAAGATTGTTGTTTAAAAACAGTAATTTGGACTTCGCTAACCAGATGCTTCTCTGTAGCTGAGTGGTATAGCATGTCAGATCAAATGGCAGTTCTGTATAGGACACAGATTCAATTCCTGTTAGAGAACACATATTTTCTACAAAATTTCTTGAACATTCAGGCCAATAAATGTAATTAATACTGTTTATTTATAAAAACAGAGCATTTACCTAAGTAAATTATATCTATTAAAATAACGTATAAACAGAATATATATATATATATATATATATATATATATATATATATATATATATGATAAAATAAAGAACAAAAAGGAAATGTATATCAATCTAACATGTTTCACTTTTGTTAAAGCTTCATCAGAGATTGAGAAAAAACAAAATCTTTGGTATTTTCAATTTTGTTTGGATTGATTCTCATTGGTCAGTCATGTATTATGTGCATTGAAACCATACACAATTCTATATGTATGTAAGTTTGTAAAAGTTCTAATATGCCAAAGTAGGCATTGGATAGTAATGTGTATTTGTAATTGTGTATGTGTGTCTGTTATGGATTACCCCACTTACTTTCCTAAAAAAACTGCCACTAGATGACACTTTCTGAACCTACAGATACACTGTAATATTTTCTATCATTCTCTTTTTTCTATTTCACCCAGGGATGGTAACCTGGATTTCAAATACAGGGGAAAAGCATATCTTTCTCTTCACTTTTCATTACTTGTCTCTTTTCCCTGTTTTCCTTAGACACACCCAGTGCCATGCGTGATACACACTTAGGTGATCATGTATCTTTTGACACATGACTGACGGGGCAGATTTTTTTCCCTTGCAGTAGGTTGCCATTTCTTTCCATTGTAGACTAGTTGCCATCCAAGGCTATTTAACTGGTGGAATTAGAAGAAGATTCATACCTTCCGCAAGGGTATTAGCACGTAAGTGAGTGTAATGGATTCGACTGGAATTTGAACTTGGCTCTCCATTTCCTCAATGTGAGCTGCTATCCATTACTCCACCGTGCCTCCTAGGATGTATGTATATCATGAAAACGTGTCTCCCGTTGGGAAACACACACACAAACACACTCAACTTCATTTTTACTAGTACTTCTATGCACATCTTACATGAACAATTCATTAGTCCTTAAGTGTTTTCATACACGTTCATTGTCTTTGTTGCTCGCAACAATGTAACTTTTTGTCTTCTTAATAATACATTATCATTTGTTTGTATATATATATATATATATATATATATATATATATATATATATATATTGGTTTTAATTGTTCCTTTGTATTTTATTACCTAGACTCACACAGGCAAGCCCGACGTTTTTGTTATGCAATAAACATTCCAGGAGGCATGTGTTTCCCAACTCAATCACCAATCTACATACACCCACAACAAGTCCGATGAAATCATAAAGGCCAAAACATACAACACTGTCTAATAAGAGGAATTCTAATGTCTTCATCTTTGTGCGGTCACCCAGCACAGTGCGGTGACACTCCATTTAATCTGGGACTGTTTTTATATATGTATTACAGAGATATGTTAGATTTTTATATGCATATAGAATTATCTACAGTTTTAATGCACATGATAAATAACTGACCAATGTGAATCGATTTTTGATCTGCATTTTATCTTTAACTCATATCAATTTCTTAGTGCTGTTAGAAAACTGATTAAGAAAGATGTCGTAGTTTTGTTATTCCTTTTATTTTCCCAACTACTTTCAACCTTATCCAAGATCGTCTTCAGGAGATGAATTGTTAAAACAAAAAAAAAAATAATGTAATTGAGAATTTTTGGGGTTGAGGGTCGTGATATATATCTATCTATCTATATATATATATATTATAAATTAATTGATTTAAAATATGGTTTTTTTCGCTACACAGTTCCAACCATTCAAAAATAGAAGCTTAAAACCCCGAATTTAATTTTGCAATTAAATTAAAAGCATTATGGAACTAATGCTTTTAATTTAATTGCAAAATTAAATTCGGGGTTTTAAGCTTCTATTTTTGAAACATGGTTGGAACTGTGTAGCGAAAAAAAACCATATTTTAAATCAATTAATTTATAATATTAATGCTCTGAAATTTACATTGAGCACTATTTTGTAAAAATAAAAATATCTATAAGAACACCGGATTTTATATCTTACTGTTCTTTCTTTTTATTTATATACATACATATATATATATATATATATATATATATATATATATATATATATATATATATATATATATATATGGTCAGTGGTTGTGCTACCATGAAGTCACATGTCAGTTTAAATGTATTGGCCTTGTCCAGACTGTTGATTATTCTAGATAATACATTCTCTTCCTCAAAGTTATAACAAAGGTCCTCTCAACATAGTTGCTGTATAAAATTTGCCTGGGTGTTGAACAAACATAAATGTGCCTGAGCAGGCGTCTGCAACATGAATTGCAGACAAACCTCCACAGATACGAATGCCTAGCCATTATATATATATAGATAGAGAGAGAGATACATATATAGTATATAGATAAATAAAAGTTCAACTGACATATCTTCTGACTTGAAGTTTCACAGAGATCCCCTCCCCTTCATTAAAATCAGATAAATATATTGAATAAATTGACAGATATCATATTTATTATTTATTCTAAGTACGTCACAATTGTTAATTATTGATGTCAACTACATTTCAAATTTGTTGTGAATCAAAAAACGTCATAACGTTGACATTTTATTTGAAATTGTTTGAATATTTATTTTGTAATTTTACCATTATTATTATCATAATTATTATTATCATTATTATTATTATTATTATTATTATTATTAAATACGTTTATGTAAATCTTAACCAAAAAAAGAAAAAAAAACTGCATAAAAATTGAGCCTCGTTCGGTTCGTTAACATTCTCAGCTGTCATGAAATGGAAAGACAACATGTCATTGATTTCTCGTCTCCTTAAACACTTTTCCTGATTCCTTTTCAACAGACTTTTTCTTTCGGCCCCGAGTGTCAAAATGTAACAACGTCATTTCTGGTGTCACAGACAAGACTTTTTAAAAATGTTTTTCTCAAATATTCTGGTGTTTTCATAATTTTGAAAAATATAAGTGTATTCAGTATTTTATTTATTTTTGGTTTAAATAATGTTTAAGTTTATTTATATATCTTTCTTCTTCACGTACCCATTTAATTTTTTTTTCTTTTTTAGTCGTTAATAGTTTCTTTTTACCTCGCTTGGTCATATCTTAAGTATTAGGGTATAAATTATAATTACTTTTTTTGTTTATATATATATATATATATATATATATATATATTTTATATATATATATATATTTAATATATATATTATATATATATATATATATATTATATATATATATATATATATATATATATATATATATATATATATATATATATATATATATATATATATATATATATATATATATATATATATAAATTATATATATATATATATATATATATATATATATATATATATATATATTATATATATAACATAAACATATATATTTTTTTCTTTTCTCAATAATTTTGTAGTTTTTAAACTTAATAGTGATTAAATTTGGATTTTAAAATTGCCAGTTTTTAATTTTAATATTAAATTTTATCATATAATTTTACAATTATTGGTTAGTATAAATTATTTTTAATATTACACGTATTTTAAAGATCTGAATAGCTATTATAACATGATTTCGTTGTCAAGCTTTTGAATCTTTCTATACTTCGTTTTTGATTGGTCATTCTAGCTTTTGTAACAATGTTTCCCCCTAGTGTAGGATCGTTAATTAATCTAAAACTTTTAAAACCATTTATTTTATCTTCAACATCATCACTTGATAAGACACCGAGTGTGTTGAAACAAAATGGCTATTTTTGTAGTGATTTTATAACATATTATGTTATAATTTTTTTATAAATAATAATTATATATATATATATATATATATATATATATACACACTTTTCATATATATATTTCATAAATTCTTTTATAAATAATAATTATATCTGCTCTACTTTGTATTGAGCACTCTTTTAAGAATAGTAATTGTTGGTTATTGGAATTCATTCCGCATATACCAATTATATACTTGGATATATATATATATATATATATATATATATATATATATATATAGAGAGAGAGATATATATATAATTATTTATATATTATATATGGTACTTATTAGAAAGCGCTCAATATCAGAGATAGAGCTAACATATTTGTTTAGATTGATGTGAATTTGTGATCCCGGGTTTCACGCTTTTGCGATCGTCAAACACATGAAACCCAGGGTTACAAACTCACATCAATCCAATATATATATATATATATATATATATATATATATATATATATATATATATATATATATACATATATATATATATATATATATATATATATATATATATATATATATATATATATATATATATATATATATATATATATATATATATGTATATATATATATATGTATATATATATATATATGCACATATATATATATATATATATATATATATATGTATATATATATGTATATATATATATATATATATATATATGCATATATATATATATATATATATGTAT